TTATTATATATTATTACGTTTTTTAATTTTAATTTCAATTTTAGAAACTGGCTATTGTGGTTATGGTGATTCATGTAAATTCTTGCATGATAGAGGTGATTATAAATCTGGATGGCAATTAGAAAGAGAATGGGAAGAAATGCAAGGAAAAATTCGACAAGATAAAAGCGAATTTCTTATCGAAAGTAGTGATGAAAGCGATGAAGAATTGCCTTTTGCTTGTATAATATGTAGACAAGAATATAAGAATCCAGTGATTACAAGGTATGTACTACATAATAATTTTTTTTCATTATTGCAAATGATACGATGATGCTTAATATGTAAAAATAGGAATCTCTCTGAGTTCAAATCGTATTGATTGAAATTATTTTATTATTATAATTATAATATAATTAACTCCTTTCTTGATTTAGATGTGGTCACTATTTTTGTGAAAAATGCGCATTACAGAATTTTCTAAAAGTCCAAAGTGCTATGCTTATGGAGCTCCTACTAATGGTATATTCAATACAGCAAAAAATCTGTTACAAAACTTGAAGCAAAAAGGAAGAGGGGGGATTGATGTGCAACAACAACAGCAACAAGAGCAACAGCAAGAGGAAGAAGATAGTGAAAGTTCTGGTGATGAATAGAGAATAAAGTCTACCATCAGATTAAATTATTCTTTCGAGTATTCGATTTCTAATACTCTTACGTCTGTTCCACGAATGACTACGTGATCATAAATCCCAACTGGTGATTCCCAGTTGTCAAACCGAAACTTAGATTCCATTGCGTCTGTTGTTTGAAATTTTTCTTGAATCACTGTACTGCAATAATTAGCTCTGTCAAACAAAGTTAACTCTTTATGATCCTTTTCAAACGACAGTTTGCCTACTTTTCATAAAACCTTGCTGTCGTCTTCGGTTTTTTTTGGCTCAAGTCTAACCAAAAAAGTAATGACCTTTGTCGAAGAATTGCCGCTGCTTTAGAATTGTCGTTTTCCATTTGTATAAATTCGCAAAGTGAATAACTGAATAATCAAATCAAATGATAACTATGTCAATGGCTAATGCGTAGCATTATATTGTGTTCGTCCTAATAGATTAGTGTCCAAAAAAAACTTTGACTTACATCCAATAAAAACAATTGAATAAAGAGAATTTTTTTATGAAAGTTAATATTAAGTTATAATTGGCATAGTATACACAAAAAGTTTTCAAGGAATCTTGTTTCTTGGAGCGATTTCATAGGCAAAATTAAAGATAACATATCTGTTCAGATAAAACGGAATTTATCGTTATAGTGATATGAATAGCGTTGTAAACTTAATTAAATTTAAATGCTAAAATAAAGATTTTATAAAAATATTAATACAGTATATCGTAATTTAGAATTATACGTAAAAGCATACATATACAGTATATAATTTATTAATATGATGCACCAACTCACTTGTGCATAATGGCTTGATATACGTATTCAAGACGTTAAATTTGATAGAAAGACCCGATATAGGTGGTCAAATGAGCCTAAAATATGAGTAAATTCCTCGAAAAGAAATGAAAGTTAGAACAAATTTTTTTTTGTTATCTTAAATTCGGTTCTGCCAATTTTATGTAATGCAATTAACGTAACATTAATTTTTAATTATAAAGTTACATACGTAGTAAATTTTTTTTAAACTTTAACTCCTCAACTTTAATATTTAGGTTTTTGAAAAATAAATATATATAGTCAAACATGTCTAAATGAATATGGTCGGTGGACCAATTTTGTATTCATTTAGACAGGATATTCATTTACAAAAAATTAATAAAATTGGTATATTTTATAATCAATTATTATAAAACGCACCTATGGTGGTTTTGCACCTATTATATGTTTTTATTATGTTTTTTAAAATTTTTTAAGTTTTTATAAGTTTGTATATAAAATTTTTAACACCAATTTTTTCACGCTAAAGTTAATATTAAGGTTAGGATTAGGGTTTGGGAGGGGTTTTTAGGGGTGTAGAGCATTTTTACTTAGAACACCTCGCATCAATTAATTAGCCAGTTTTTGAGATAATGTATACAGGTGTAAAACACCATAGGTGTGTTTTAGTAAAATCCTTTATAATTTAACCAATCAAATTATAAAATTTTGTGTAACAATTATGCAAATAAAGTTGAAAATACTCAGATAGCATAATTTTTATAAAATTTTTACTAATAAAATTGAAGGTTTTTATGTATTATTCAGTTAAGCAGTTTATATAATTAGCCTTAGTAACCAACTTGGTTCTGAAATTTTGTGTTCATTTATACAGGATATTTATTTATATAATTTTTATTTAGACAGGTTTGACTATATATACTATATATATGAAAAAAATGTTAATACAGTGCGTGACACTTAAAAACTACACAAACTTTAAAAGCTAATAACTTATGATCTAAAAAAGATATTTTAAAAAGGAAGCCGCTATTTTGTAGCTAAATCAATTTATAACAACTTAGCGGCCTTATTTTTTAAAAAGTTATAATAACTTTTCAAAATA